ACAATGCCATTGAAAAATGGGCAGAGAACCTGAATAGACATCTTTCCAAAGAAGACCTACAGATGGCCAACAGGCACATGAAAAGATGCTCAACATTACTAACCATCAGGGAAATGCAAATCAAAACCACAGTGAGATATCAGAATGAATATTATCAAAATGACAACAAATAACACGTCTTGGTGAGGACGTGGAGAAAAGTGAACCCTCCTGCACGGTTGGTAGGAATGTAAATTGGGGCAGTTACTAAGGAAAACTTTTATGGAGGGTCCTCAAAAAATTAAAAGTAGAACTGCCATATGATCCAGCAATTCCACCTCTGGGTAAGTTTCCAAAGAAAACAAAAACACTAATTCAAAAAAATATATGCACCCCTATGTTCATGCAGCATTATTCAAAATAGGCAAGATATGGAAGTAACCTAAGTGCCCATCTTGAAATAAGTGGATAAAGAAGATGTGGTATATGTGTACAATGGAATATTAGCCATAAAAAATAAAATCTTGCCATTTGCGACAACATGGTTGGACCTACAGGGTATTATGCTAAGTGAAATAAGTCAGACAGAGGAAGAAAAACACTGTACAATTTCAGTTGTATGAAAAAATCTTAAAAACAAATGAACAAATATAACAAAGCAGAAAGAGTCATAAATACAGAGAACAAGCAGGTGGTTGCCAGAGGGGAGGGAGGTAGGAGGATGAGTGAAATAGGTGAGGGAAATTTTTAAAAATTAAAAATTAAAAAAAATAAAGTACCAAAATGTTAGCAGTGATCCCTCTGTCTGTCTTTTGTTGAGGAAATGAGGGTGGAGGCACAGAGATTGTATGTGACACACTTTTCTTTTTTTTTGAATTTAATTTATTTTTTTATACAGCAGGTTCTTATTAGTTTTCCATTTTATCCACATCAGTGTATACATGTCAATCCCAATCTCCCAATTCATCCCACCACCACCCGTCCCCCGCCACTTTCCCCTCTTGGTGTCCGTACGTTTGTTCTCTGAATCCGTGTCTCAATTTCTGCCCTGCAAACCGTTTCATCTGTACCATTTTTCTAGGTTCCACATATATGCGTTAATATACGATATTTGTTTTTCTCTTTCTGACTTACTTCACTCTTTATGGTATGTGACACACTTTTATTATGGAATTGTTTGAAACATTTATTAAAAAAACCCATTATTTTGTTATCAGAGAAATGTCTGAGGAACAGCCATGAGAGTTCAGTGTTTTCAGTTGTGATTAAAAGGTCTTGAAACTATGTGTCTTGCTTTTTTCCACTGTTCTACTTTCTGAATTAATGTAAAAGAACAGTCTTTTCCTTTTGGATATGTTTATTTTGGAAACTTCTATGAATTTTATCCAGTAGCAAAAGAAGCCTTGGCAAGATTCATTCATGCATGCGTTCCTTCATACGTTCATCCATTTACTCTTTCAATCATTTTTGGACTAATGTGACTAGCTTTTGAGTTTTGAACCATACACTCACATGGTTCAAAATTCAAAAGCTACCAAAACCTCCCTCCCACCTCTGTGCCCCAGGCACTATTCCACTCCACACAAGCGCATTGTTATTAGTTTGTTGCATCTCCTTCCAGGGTATTTTAGGTATTTAAAAGTACGTTTCTCAAATTTTTTATCTGAAAAAATACTTGTCTTAGCTCAGGCTGCCATAACAAAAGACCATAGGTCAGGTGGGGTAAACAGATATTTATTTCACACAGTTCTGGAGGCTGGATCGAGGTGTTGGCATGGTCAGAATCTGGTGAGAGCTCTCTTCCTGGCTTGCAGATGGTGCCTCGTTCTAGCAGTGTCCCCCCGTGGAGGAAATAGAGCGACCAAGCTCTTTGGTGTCTCTTCTTAGAAGAACACTAATCCCACAGTGAGGGCTCCACACTCACGGTCTTATTTAATTTCTTCCCCAAGGTGCCATCTCTAAACAACATCACACTGAGCCAGAGGCTGCAAGATATGGATGGGAGGGAAGGGGTAGTGGAGAGAAACATAATTCAGTTCACAGTAACACATATCTCAAAAGAAAACAAAACTTAGGTGCAGTACCAATGGATCTTTTATTTTTCCCCTTCTAAATGGAGGTTGCCAAAATATAAATATGGAACTTTGGGGAGCATATGCCTTTCCATCCTCTCCTCTTTAGTTTTTTTCCACGCCACTTCCAGAATTGGTCTAAGATATTGTGCCAAGGCTGTAGGTCTCCTGAGCAGCCCCTTAGAACAATATTCAGGGCTCTTCAAGATTCTGACTCCAATTTCCCTTCCCTGTTTATCACCTAAAGAGCCCTACACCCTCTGATGCAGGCACCCTGAATAACTCGGGCAGACTTCAGTGCTTTACTCATGCAACTTCCTCTGTGTGGAAGGTTCACTCCACAATTCCTTCTCCAGTGTTCCTTCAAATGTCACATCCTCTGCTTGAATTAGTAATTTCCTGGTCGGTGTTTTCATATCGGCTTATAGTAGAACGTACAACCTCAGTGCTAGAAGCAAATTATAAGTAATGGTTGTGTTCTCCCACCCCCAACACCTAGAGCAGAAGTATCTGACTTATTTTTTGTGACACTGAATAGAAGTTGGCCCAATGTACAATAAACTGTATTTGCTAAGATGATAGCCTGAACTTACAATAACCCCGAAACTTTAAAAAGAAAGACAGCCAAAACAAAAAACAAACAAAAAAAGACAAGTCACACACGCAAAAAAGAGAGATAACGGAGCTAAATTTTTTTTTGGCTTTGTCACCGGACTTGTAGGACCTTAGTTCCCCGACCAGGGATTGAACCCAGGTCCACCGTAGTGAAAGTGCACAGTCCTAACCACTGGATCGCCAAGAAATTCCTCCTGAGTTAAATTTAAATAAAAATCTAGCGTCAGAGCTATGGAAGCTTGTGGTCTTCTTTATGTTGAATGTAAAATGTATATAATGAATTACTAGCTGTTTTTAGATGATATAAATTGAATCCCTTGCTTGGGCCTACCAGAGAGAAAGCTATATATATATTTATTTGTTAAAATTAGTTAAAAGTAATATCCTAGACTAGCAGAGAAGAGTCTTCTGTAGAGCACTTCTCTGGGGTAGTTTTTATTTAAAATGTGAATTTGTGATTTTAAAAATAAGTTTTAAAAGTTATTAGGTTCAGGCCAAGATTTCCCAATCCCCTACTTCCACCCTGAATCCCAAATGCTCTGCTTCTGTTACCCAGTAGCACAAAATTGCCAAGGCTGACTGTTTGTGCCACACATATGGCCAGATGACAGATGCTGCTCCTTGTGTAACAAGGTATTAAACACTTAAATGCATGTGATATGCTAGTTCCATTGCTTATCCTAATCTGGGTCATCTAATATGTAATTGTAGAGGTCATGGTAATCAATCTTTGTTCTAGGTCCCTTGGAGTCAGTGCAAAGACTCTTATTATCTCCAGTTCTATTTTACTTTTTTCTTTTCTTTTCTTTTCTTTTCTTTTTTGCGGTACGCGGGCCTCTCACTGTTGTGGCCTCTCCCGTTGCAGAGCACAGGTTGCGGACGCGCAGGCTCAGTGGCCATGGCTCACGGGCCCAGCCGCTCCGCGGCATGTGGGATCCTCCGGACAGGGGCACGAACCCACGTCCCCTGCATCGGCAGGCGGACTCTCAACCACTGCACCACCAGGGAAGCCCTACTTTTTTATTTTCTTAAAGACTTCACAATGATGACCAAGTGCAGTAATCTCTCTTTAGGATACAGTGGAGGGCAACGAAAGAATTTGGGGATACTGGATTATTTAAAGTGTAATTTAGATCTCTTTTTCTTCCCCCGCAGAAGTGCAAATTTTTGTGTTTTAAAGAACATTTAAAATTCTGATGTGAGAATATTTAAAATTTTAAAAAAGAAAAATTTTGTTTTTAATTTTTAAATAAAGTGTTAAATAGATTAAAAATTTTAAATAAAAAAGTGAGGTAAAAACATAGCACGGCCATATATATGTGTGTGTAATGTAGAAAAAAGGTGTCTAAGTCCTCTATCTATATATATAGGAAAATTTTCTTTACATTATTGAGGACATCTTTCCTAGCTTTCTGTTATCTCCTCCTTCAGGTAACCGAAATGTGCTCCTTTGGCCCAGCCTGAGAATCATTAATTTAGAAAAAAATAAATATACACTAGCTTTAAGTATTAGAAGTGAAAGTAATGGGATTTGGATTGCGTGTAGTATCGCTTTTGTGATGAGCTATTTGATTACAATAAATTTTAATTGTGCCAATATTGGGGGGGGAGGAAAACCAACCCACAGCGAACAGCAGGTTTCTGATGACTAGAAACAGTAAGACGACACTTTCTTGGAATGAAAGACGGCGCTTGCGCTCAGACTCAGTGGGCGCCCGCCCTCCTGCTTTTTCTCCAGCCGCCGTTTCCTCCGCCTTTCGCGCTCTAGCCACCCGGAAAGCCCAGCCTAAGGGAAGCTGGGCCCTGATTGGCTTCTTTGAAAGTCTACGGGATACCTGATTGGTGGATCCAGGACCCTTTAGCGCGGTGAGTTTGAAACTGCTCGCACTTCTCTTCAAAGCTGGCGCTTCGAAGTTAGGGGAGAGCGCCGCTGACGTGATAGCCGCCGCCGCTTTCGCCGGGGGATAATAAGCCGGGTAGAGTTGCCGGGGTCAGGGTCATGCCTATGGGGCGTCGACTCGGCAGGCCGGCGTCGACTCGCGGGCCTCGGAGAGGGTGTATTACGGAACCGGGTGATAATTAGGCGGCTGGGGTCTGCGTGCGGCCAGGCCGGGCCTTCACCTGGGGTCCGGGGCCTGGGCGTGGGAGCGACGCCGGCCGGCTCTAGCGGGAGGCTTGTGGGAGCCCAGCCCCGGCGGGGTTACTCCGGCAGGGCTGGGGTTGCCCTGGCCTTGGAATTGCAGTCTGGGGTCACGCGGGTGGCTGAGGAGGCTCCCGGGTCCTGATTGAAGCCAAATCCGTGCCTTGGTTGGACGACGCCGAGCGCTTGCGGAGTGCCAGGCTCGGCCCTCGGCCCTGCAGCTCCCGCCCGTCCGCGGTGCGTCCTGCCCTCGCCTCCGGGGGTGGAAAGCAAGACCGCACCTGGGCCAGGTACCCAAGCCCGTTCCCAATCACAGGCTGTCCCGGAAAACCGATCGGATGAACTACCTTGTGGGCCTTCTCAGGCTTGCCTCTGTGCCCATGACCCTAGCCCTCCTAGAGCTTTTAAGAACACTTAGCCAAGGCAAACAACACTAGAGAACTTGGATTTTTTGTTGTCGTCGTTTTTATTTTATGCTTGGTGGTGGTTACAGTCTATGGAATTGGCAAAAAGTGGAAATCTAAGAAATGCCGAGAGTTAGAAACGTGTGTTTTTAAATCCTTTAATCAATTTTTATTTAATACTAAAGTTGCCAATGTGCACGTCTTGCTTCCTCTAAAGACCTGGAGGTCTCTGGGTGGATTAAGCCGCTGGTATTTTACATCCTGCCACGTACAGGGGGCTTTCAAAAGCTATGCTGAGGCCGCATCCTTTATTTAAAATAGTTACAACCAGGAAAGGGTGGAAGAGTAAGCTTTGAAATTGGGTTGGTTTTCAGTTATTTGTCTAAAATGAGCTCAGCAATTTCATTGTGCTTTAGGCATATTACATCTGGATATTGAAGAAAAGATAATTATCCTAATCGTCCACTGTCATTTGTAAAATTAACCATTTTTAAGATGGCCAGGGTAGTGCAATTTTGTTCATTTAAAAAGATTTATCTCTACTTATTTCTGGAATGATTTTGAAGAAGAATGTGAGAAACATAACTTAAGGGTCAATATAACCTCAGGCTCAGTGACCTTTATATATGGTTTCATCGGTGATGTATTATAAAATGATGCTTTGGGCTGCTGGAGCTATTGTTTCATTGCAAACTTACCAGCCAAGACTTACCAGGAAGTCTTGAGTAGCTGGTTGTCATTTCAGCTCTTTTTTTTTTTTTTTTTTAACCATTCTTTGTGATTCAAGTATATGGCTTTTTACTTTGTTCTTGACATTTGTGTGGGGTATAATTAGATTTTATGTGTGGAATTGCACTTTTTCTTTTAGAGTGCTTAGTGATCTTTCCTACCTTACAAAAAGTACCTTGAAACTTTTTGTCATGTTTGTGTTATGTGACTGCTGACAACAGGAGAAAGATTAAAACTGTCACTTGAGCAAGTTGAAACACGTATACTTTTCGCTGCTTTAAACCCTCTAATGGGTGAGCAGTGTGACCACATTTTAGCTCCCTACTCATGTCTTTCAAAAAAAAATTTTTTTAATTATCTTCATAAAAGTATAAAGCTGTACAAATTCAGTCAAATAACCTTGTTAAAATATTTGGGTATAACTGGCACACACTGGTGCTCCTTAGAAGTGTTACATAAAGAGAACATCTGGGATGTGTTTGGGAAGAATAGGTAAGTCCATGTGTGAATTTGAGGGTTAATTTGGAAGAGGCTAAATGTTACACTGGTATAGGATATACAAATATTTCCAATGTTTCAGAAACTAAGAAGGGTGGGAGAGTCTTTGAGTTCTTTCCCTTCTAACTATTGTTCTAATATAATAGCTAATATTCATGGAAAATTAATACTGCACTAGGCACTGTGGGAAATGCTTTACTTATAGTATCTCATTAATAACGTAAAAGCACGCTTTGAGTTAGTGACATGTAATCAAATCAGCTTTTCCTCTCATTTTAGGATCTACAATACCCATTGATTAACTATGGAAGACTATACCAAAATAGAGAAAATTGGAGAAGGTGAGTGGTTTTAATAATATAAAAGGATTTTTAAAAAATGATTTAATGATGCTGTAATGTCCTTGACATGAAGACATGTAAATATTCATTAAAGTCTAATCTTTGGGACTTCCCTGGTGGCGCAGTGGTTAAGAATCCCCCTGCCAATGCAGGGAACACGGGTTCGAGCCCTGGTCTGGGATGATCCCACATGCCGTGGAGCAACTAAGCCCGTGCGCCACTACTGAGCCTGCGCTCTAGAGCCCGCGAGCCACAACTACTGAAGCCCGTGCGCCTAGAGCCCGTGCTCTGCAACAAGAGAATCCCGCGCACTGCAACGAAGAGCAGCCCCTGCTCGCCCCAACTAGAGAGAAAGCTTGTGCGCAGCAACGAAGACCCAATGCAGCCAAAAATAAAAAAATTAATTAACTAGTTAGTTTTTTAAAATCCAATCTTTCAGGTACGTCTAACAGTATATTAGTGCATTAATACATATGTTCTCTACATAATAAAACACAAAAATGTTCACATTTCAGGAGAATTGAAATTATTGTGACATGTCTCCCCAACAGCCCCCTTCCAATAATCTTACATCCTTCTAATACTAAATGCTTAAAGCAATGTTTGTATTTTGAAAACACTATTGATATCTTGTAGGTGTGTTGGGAAGGGTGTTAGGGCAGTGGAATTATGTGCTTTACTTCTAAATACTTCTGCATATATACTTGAAGTTCTAGTCAGGGTCATGTATTTCATTTGGTGGTTAATGTCTCCTTAATGTCTTCTGATTTAGAATTGTCCCCCTGACTTTTCCCCTTTGACATTGAGTTTTTGACAGCCCAATTCATTTCTTAAATATATCCAGACTTTTCTTATTTCATTTATTACAAAGTTGTTCTCTGGTTTCTTCTGAATAACAAAAATCTGAGTGTTTTTACATTAGTCTTGGAACTCCTTCCTGTCTTAAGGAAATGTCTTTTTAGATTGTAGAGAACATAGCTATATCCATGATGTGGAACCTTAGTTGGCATTTAGTAGGCACTCTGTAAACATTTGTTGATCAAAGGTTTTTCTCTTTACTGTTCAGTCTCCATAACTTGTCCATATCGAACATTTTAAAATTTTATAATGCTTAGTTCATTTCAGAGCCCATACCTTGTATGTCACAAATAATTTTTGGTAATTAACCAGTGGAATCACTGTGCTCTGTTTAACTAGCGCTCTATTCCAGTAGTTCATTGAGAAGTGATATGGTTCAAAAAGAGTCAGAAGAGAGACATAGAGCACTTGTGATGTCTAAAACTCAATTCAGTACATATCAAGGAACCTAACCGGTGGCACAGTGGTTAAGACTCTGCGCTCCCAATGTGGGGGGCCCGGGTTCGATCCCTGGTCAGGGGACTAGATCACACATGCATGCCTCAACTGAGAGTTTGCAAGCCGCAACTAAGGAACCAGCAAGCTAAAACTAAGACCCAGCGCAACCAAATAAATAAATACATATTTTAAAATGCATATCTAGTGTTTGCTATAAGTTTATCAGTGGTTGTTATGAGTAAATTTTAGGACCAGGTGAATGTTGTACACTTGAGGGAGAGGTAAGCATACTTAAAAAAAAAAGCTCTGAATTTACCATTAACAGTTTATTTGACTATATTATGCAAATGACTGATCTTCCTGAGTGGGGTCTGCTCCAGGATCCCTGTCAATGTCAATATTGACATTGTTGCTCATTATCTGAAGCCCATATATCAGAATCAGTGTTCTCAACTTCCAAATGGATGTGAGGCTTTCTGCTATATAGTAGATAATATGAGCTTGAATAGATCAAATATTTAATAACATATTTTATCCTCATTCTTTTCTAGATGAGGATTGTTGACTGTATATTTGAAATGTATGAAGCACTCTATATGAAGTTTTCTGAAAGTGTCACAGTGACTCCTGTTAGTAATATTTCCTGAGCCCAAATCTTTACACTGTATTTTATGCCTACCTTGTTGCCAGGTAGGATATTTGACAGGAGATACATTCCAATCTGCAAACGATCCTTTTTCTCTAAAATGTGCTGGAAAATTACTGGTAATTTAAATGTATGGGAAACCTGTGATGACTATATGAATTCTCTAAACTACAGCCATGATAGGTTTTAGTTACCTTCAGTGTTGTTTTGGAAGTGATGAGGGTATAATTATGACTAAGATGCTTTCTATCTGGCCACAGCAGACATTTCTATCATGTGACACCTTATGGGATTCAATCATTTTTAAAATCTTTTTTAGTTTGTGGAGGTTGTCACATAGCAGGCACTTTGTCTATTTCAGGTACCTATGGAGTTGTGTATAAGGGTAGACACAAAACTACAGGTCAAGTGGTAGCCATGAAGAAAATCAGACTAGAAAGTGAAGAGGAAGGAGTTCCTAGTACTGCAATTCGGGAAATATCTCTATTAAAAGAACTTCGTCATCCAAATATAGTCAGGTATGGTGTAATATCTGAATTTGAATCATTTTCCGCATTCTATTTCAAATGTGAATTTCATTGTGGAAACTTTTACATTTGCTTAATTTCTGGTCTAACCTTGCTGAGCTGACTAGAACCCTACTTTTTTTGTTCATTGAGAATGCTGGGCATAGAAAAAAAGGCTGGTAAAGCAGGAACAGAGTTAAAGGAGCTTGGTGATGAAGATTAGTAGTGGGGGCTGGAAAATCAGGGTAAACTGGTCAAGGGAGAAAAGGAAGTCTTTTTCACAGAGCTTTGACACTGCTCCCACTCTGAGAGCTCTGATCCTTAAAGACTCCTTAATCAGAGACCTGAGACAGGTAGATAGGTCAGATGAAGAAAAAGTTTTTCTTTCCAAGTATTTGGACTGGCATCTTTCCAAATCAGGATTTAACTGCATTTTTCTGGGGCTAGAGATAGTGAGCAACTAGTAAGGTCAGATACTACTCTAAGGTTTGTTTCTATTATTTACCTCAATGGAAAGACAAGCTCTGAGCAACAAGCAGTCAGCCTAGAAACGTTCTTCTGGAGTAGAAGCCGCTTGCCAGTTAGCGCCTAATATAATATGACTTAATTTTCTATTGCTGCCCTGAGGTTCCTTTCTCAAATTCCAGGTTAGTGCTACGGTTTTCACAACTAGGGAAGCTACCACCTCTTCTTTCCCAAAGCGGTATAGTACAATTTCTTATGGCCCTACTTTTTGTAACAACAACTGTGAAATGTATAGAAATAGTTTTATTTTGTGAGAGGTCAAAAATGTTAGTGTTTTAAATTTTCATATAATTATTTTATTCTTCAGTCTTCAAGATGTGCTTATGCAGGATTCCAGGTTATATCTCATCTTTGAATTCCTTTCCATGGATCTCAAGAAATACTTGGATTCTATCCCTCCTGGTCAGTTCATGGATCCTTCACTTGTTAAGGTAAGAATCTTGCCTAATTTTATTAGTATTTTTCCACTGTGAATGTAAAGTGTTTACTCTGTAGAAGTCCCTGTGTTTCATGAAAATGTGCTTGGAAAAAGTGTTAGAAAGTAGAACAAGGAAGAAAAGAGTATTTTGTTTTCTCCCACACAGTTAGTCTATGGGTTAGGTTGTTAATGGTTACCCATTTTATTACTAGATAGTGCTTCTAGCTGTAAAGTGAAAAGTAGTGCCTGAGATAACAAAAGTAATAAGTACATATTACATTGTTGGAAGCTAGGATATTCTGGTCTTTATTTGGCAGTCAGGTACGTGTAAAACAAAGTAGCAAAAGCCTGGGGCAGGGTGATGGTGGCAGGCGGTTTCATTTTATTCTGGTTTTAAATTATATTTTGGTTAATTTATTTTAGACATTAAATTTCATTTAAATTTTAAATGTGTAATTATCCTTACACCATCTCTACCAAACCTCTCCTTAGAGGTAGGCATTCTTTTTTTTTTTTTTTTTTAAATATCTTTATTGGAGTATAATTGCTTTACATTGCTGTGTTAGTTTCTGCTGTATAACAAAGTGAATCAGCTATACGTATACATATATCCCCATATCCCCTCCCTCTTGCGTCTCCCTCTTATCCTACCCCTCTAGGTGGTCACAAAGCACGGAGCTGATCTCCCTGTGTAGCCATTGTTTTATTAGTAATCTTAGAGATACTTATATGTCAACTTTGTATGTATATATACATATACTGTTTTTATAAAAATGGGATTATATATATTTATATATATATATGCATTACTTTCCCTTTTCTGTGTAAAACATTATTCGACCATAGGTCTACCTGTCTTTCTAATTTTTTTTTTTACTCAGAAACATTATTTATTTTTGACATCCATCTATATCTTAACGTAACTGTAATGAGTATTCCTTGTAATATCACCTCGTAGGGAAATCCCCACTATGATTTTTTCTTCAATTCCATTTTGTTCAAGAGTCTTCCTAATTTTTGCTACAGTTATGTAAACCAGTTCCACAGTGGTGGACATTGAAATTGTTTTCCAGCTTGGTGATTCATGCCCTTATGGTCAGTGCTGCAGTGAATATCTTTATATCTTCATATACATCTTCATAGGATGGATTCTCACAGGTGGAATCAATGGGTTGAAGATGTTTATTTACACTTAAAATCTTGATAGAGAGTGCCATTTGCCCTCTAAAAAATTAGAGCAATTTACTCTTAAACATCATGGTGTGTATTTTCTTTTAATACCTCACTGTTGAAACTTGTTTTTATCAATCTTTTTGATAATCTATTATGTGAAAAAGACTAATATCATTTTGCATGTCATTTAACATTTTTTCATTTCTTAGCCATTTTATAAACAGCCTATACATATTCTTCACTGATGATCCTGTTAGGATATTTTTTCCACTGGTTTCTAAGAGCCTCTTATCAGTAACATGTTGATAATAGTTCTTTTATTCCTTTTTTTTGTCTTTTGATTTGTTAATGGAGTACACCGTTAGTAATTTTTATAATTTAACAATCTTATACATGACTTTTGGACTTTGAGATTTTTTATGTCTTATTTAAGTCTTCCTCACTCAAAGACCACATGTATTAGAACAATACATGACAATGTTTTTCTAGTAGTTCTAGTAGATTACCCCCACCCCCTACTTTTGTCTTAAATTCTAGATGGATCAAAGGTTTATTTTGGTGTAAGAACGAGGGTTCTTAATTTTTTTCCAAATGGCTAGCCAGTTGTTCCAACTGATTGATTTTTTGTATTTTATAATTTTGAACTTTATAAGTCAATATTATAACTATGTATATTTTCTATTTCTGTAATATCCATGTTGCTTCAAATGTCAATTACATTGTCTTGGCAACAAGTATCTTATAAAACACTTCTCTGAACTTACCAAACAGGATTTTGCGATAATTGTGTCTCTTTAAATACACAGTCATAATATTCTCTTTGTTGTTTCTTTTGGAGTCTGTGACCAATGTCTCCAAAGAGGAAATGAATATGTAAAGATAAAAGGCTGAAATGGAAAAGACTAACCTTATTCAAGGTAGAAATAGAGTTGCTATAATTATATAAAACAAAAGTTTAAGAAAATTTCTATATAGAAAACTAACTTAAGAATTAGGGACCAAAATAAGTAAAAGAAGAATAAGTGAGTTCATAAACATGTGCCCATAAGGTGAATATCTTTGTCATAGGTATACGAACATGACTACCTTATATAAATGGGCTTCCCACCCCCAAATACTTCCTGTTAGTCTCAAATTGCCTGAGAACTTTTTTTTTTTTTAATTTTTATTTACTTATTTTTGCTGTGTTGGGTCTTCATTTCTGTGTGAGGGCTTTCTCTAGTTGTGGCAAGCGGGGGCCACTCTTCATCGCGGTGCACGGGCCTCTCACTATCGCAGCCTCTCTTGTTGCGGAGCACAGGCTCTAGACGCGCAGGCTCAGTAGTTGTGGCTCACGGGCCTAGTCGCTCCGCAGCATGTGGGATCCTCCCAGACCAGGGCTCGAACCCGTGTCCCCTGCATTAGCAGGCAGACTCTCAACCACTGCGCCACCAGGGAAGCCCCTGAGAACTTTTTTTGTAAATTGTTTATTTCTCCGCATTATAATTTCTCATGTCTTTGAAAGAAAGCCACCAAGATTATTTAGAAAATTGTTAAATGGTATGGTTAAGTTTCTAACTTGTGGTTCCTTCTTCCAGAGTTATTTGTACCAAATCCTACAAGGGATTGTGTTTTGTCACTCTAGAAGAGTTCTACACAGAGACTTAAAACCTCAAAATCTATTGATTGATGATAAAGGAACAATTAAACTGGCAGATTTTGGCCTTGCCAGAGCTTTTGGAATACCTATTAGAGTATATACACATGAGGTATGTTTTTTGGTGCTTTTGTTAAGTGTGATTGCTGGATTGTTTTCTATATTCTTTAAGTCAAGAAAGAAATACTCAATCAGAAAGATTTCCACTCTGTGCCAGTATCAGTTTATTGCCTCTCTGCTCCAAAGTCACCCTTCATTGCCTGCTATGTGAAAATGTATCTGGAACCTTTTGAGTATTTTTCTTTTGCCAGTTGCTGTGATGTTACGCTTTGACAGTAGAGGGTGCTGGAGAGGCATTACAGGAAGGAGTCGTTATTCTTACTAGTCAATCTAAATCTTCCAATCCTCTGTTATAGTTACTAATCTTTTACAGTAAACTTTCCCCATTCAAATTACCATGAGATTTCTGTGTTGACTGGATCCTCTCTTGAAACAATAAGATTGGTTAAAAGACAGGTTTTGTTGCTTAAGTGCCACTGTTTCAGATGTATTTAGAAGCTTCTAAATATAACCAAGTTTTGTCTGTGTTATATTGATGACTTGGCATTTTGTTTGCTATTTCTGGAGGGAAAGGGAATGTTGACTCACATAGTTAAGGATTATTGGGAAACCTTGTCTTCTGTGGAGTTGTCTACCCTTCTGCCCAAAGACTTCCTCCAGATCAAAACTTAATGACGGTGCTGATCTGGTCAGATGTCTTGGCTTCTTTTAATTATTCCTTTTTATCATTTTTCCCATGGCTCTATAAATAAAGATTATTTGGTTTCCATTGGCTTAAACATATGCCACTGACCTCCAATGTGATAAATTAGATATGCTAAAATAGTAGATTGGTGCTAGACTACTAATAAACTGTTGTTTGACTTAGTTTTGATTTTAGCATGTAATCACTACATGCACTTGTACAGTGTCAACCCCAAATCCATTATCATTGGGCTTTTTTTTTTTTTTGTAAGTGAAGGCTATCTTGACTATTTTGTTCCTCGCATTTTAATGATTTGAAAAGACTTGGTATGCTTTTTTCTTTTTCCCCCTAATGAATATAACTTAGAAATACTTCATTATTTATCTAACATTTAGTATTGTGTATAGTTAATTGACTTTTAAACACTATTATCAGAGGCAATCAAGCAGCATTCTAAAGGACAGTTCTAATGAAATAGAAATGTTTACATTTAGGTAATTTAACGTGCCACATTTATTCCAAGTAAGATATTTTCTTTGTAATAGGTAGTAACACTCTGGTATAGATCTCCAGAAGTATTGCTGGGGTCAGCTCGCTACTCAACTCCAGTTGACATTTGGAGTATAGGTACCATATTTGCTGAATTAGCAACTAAGAAACCACTTTTCCATGGGGATTCAGAAATCGATCAACTCTTCAGAATTTTCAGGTATTTTTGTTTTATACTTGAGCTACTAAGAACTTTTAAATTAACATGTATATAACAAGAGTTATGTTTATACTTTAACCATAAGTTTTTGTTTTGCTGTGGCTTTTTAGAGCTTTGGGTACTCCCAATAATGAAGTGTGGCCAGAAGTGGAATCTTTACAGGACTATAAGAATACATTTCCCAAGTGGAAACCAGGAAGCTTAGCATCCCATGTCAAAAACTTGGATGAGAATGGCTTGGATCTGCTCTCGGTAAGGAATGCCCTTTATATTGACTTTAACACTGTGCATGATTCTGAATGTACTTAATTCTTTCTTTCACGTAGGAAATAGGAAGAAAACCACCGTATACTGAGCCAGGCACATAACTATTATGTCTGTTATGTTTATTGTCAAAGCGAGCACATTACTAGCTCCATTTTAGATACGAAAAACACTAGTGGTTTTGAGAGGAGGATGTGGCATTTGTTCACTTTTTTTAATATATAGATTTATTTATTTGGCTGCGTTGGGTCTTCGATGCTTCACGTGGGCTTTCTTTAGTTGCGGCGAGAGGGGGCTACTCTTTGTTGCAGTGCGCGGGCTTCTCATTATGGTGGATTCTTTTGTTGCAGAGCTCGGGCTCTAGGCGCACGGGTTTCAGTAGTTGTGGCTCATGAGCTCTAGAGTTCAGGCTCAGTAGTGGTGGCACACAGGCATAGTTGCTCCACAGCATGTGGGATCTTCCTGGACCAGGGCTCGAACCCATGTCCCCTAAATTGGCAGGCGGATTCTTAACCACTGCGCCACCAGGGAAGCCCTTCTTCACTTGTTTTTAATCTGATAGGTAGCTGTAGATACTCTGAAGGAGAGGATGAGGTTAATAAACCTTTAAGTTGTGGACTTGGAGTGGCCTTCCTCTCCAGGTTTTTTGTCTCAGTATTTACTGCTTTTTAGTTTAGACACAGTCGTTTTAGTTTTTAAAGTCTTTACTGCATGAATTCCCATTTCTCACTTTGCTTTGTTTCCACATCAGACAGGTTAGCAGAAGGACAAATGTAGTTCTTAAAACCTTTCCCCTCTGTTACGTTGCTGTTCCCAACTAAACAGTTGTGTTCTTTAAAAACAAGACAAAAAAAAAAATTGTTAGGATAAAAAATTGTCCTAGACCTGCCTCAGGAAATTTGCTTTAGAACAGTATTTAAATACTGAGATTTTCTTTTCTTTTCTTTTTAAACTTATTTTTAAATTTATTTTTATTTATTATTTGGCTGCATTGGGTCTTCGTTGCTGCACGCGGGCTTTCTCTAGTTGCGGTGAGCGGGAGTTACTTTTCATTGCGGTGCGCGGGCTTCTCATTGCAGCGGCTTCTCTTGTTGCAGAGCACGGGCTCTAGGCGCACGGGCTTCAGTAGCTGTGGCACACAGGCTCAGTAGTTGTGGCTCGCTGGCTCTAGAGCACAGGCTCAGTAGTTGTGGCTCGCAGGCTCTAGAGCACAGGCTCAGTAGTTGTGGGGCACGGGCTTAGTTGCTCCGCGGCATGTGGGATCTTCCCGGACCAGGGATCGAACCTGTGTCCCCTGCCTTGGCAGGCGGATTCTTAGCCACTGCGCCACCAGGGAAGTCCAATACTGGGATTTTAGAAGGGACTAGTTTTTATGAATCTCAGGTAATGTGATTGCAAAAAAAAAAAAAAAAAAAGATTTTGACAGGTTACTAAACAAAGGAAAAAATCTACTGCTATATCATCATACACATGTTCTAATTGATCTTTGGGCCCCTTCACAATTTATAAATCATGCCACCAAATTCAGCTTAGAGTTCCCAAATGCTTACAAGTGCAGTCCAAGATCCTTTACTGCCACTCAGATATTTTGTACATTAATATTGATGATATGATGTAAAAGGCCTTCTATATTCCTGGCCCAGTCTGTCTTTTTAACTTCCGTGATTCTTAAACATGAAGAATTTCACTTTAGTTAATGAAATGAAAATCATACTGTCAATCATGGTTCCGTAGTCTAGCCAGTATTGACATCTTGGACCGACTCATTCTTTGCTGCTGGAGGCTGTCCTGTACATTGTAAGATATTTAACAGCATCCCATTCCTCTGTCCTATAGATGCTATTAACACATTCCTCCCAGTTGTGACAACCCCAGATGTCTCCACACATTGCCAAATGTCCCCTGAGGGGCAAAGTCTCACCAAGTTGACAATCACTGCTGTACATCATAAGTCAGTCTTGGTTTCAAATTTCAGCTTTATCACTCTTAAACTCTATGAACTTGGCCAGGTTCCTTAGCCTCTTTGAGCCTCAAAGTTCTTATTTGTAAAGTGGGACTAATTCCTACCTTTTTTTGTGAGGATTAAGTAACATGAAATGTACAAAGCACTTAATAGAGTGCTAGCTATATAATAAGAGCTCAAATGGTAACTAGATAGTAAAAGTATCTCTGGGTCTGCTTATTGGTTTAGTTTTCTTTAAGATTAATAATATTTCTTTAAGATAAATTTTAACTTTATTCAGCCTTTTCTGTTAATGTATAAATAAACTTTAATACTAGGTTGTTTGACCATAATTCATTTAGTGACTCATTTAAACTATGTTTATAACACATTGGTTTTGTTTTTATTTGGAACTTGCTGGAAGCTACATTAGAAACCTCTATAGTTAATTGCCACCACTTCAGCAATGCTGTAAATAACTCAGAGGGCCATTTAATTCTCAAAGTAAATATAATTAACTAGATAATCTTTCTTCAATTTATGCCTTGGTTTTAAAGCTATCTGAATGCTTGTGTCTTAAACCATAATTTATAGCAAAAAGAGGTTATCAAGATATCTATGATTTAAGGAATAGATTATTTAGAGCTGGGGGTGAAGTAAGACATTTATGTGCTTTGGTATTAAACTAACAGAAATGTTCATTTAGTAGTTTTTCATTAAAATTATCAGCTTAGGGCTTATTGGTAGAAAAGTAAGGCTTTTTGGAGATTTTTTTAAATGGTTTATTTCTTAACCTTTTAAAAAATCTTTTTCCTCCCACAGAAAATGTTAGTCTATGATCCTGCCAAACGAATTTCTGGCAAAATGGCACTGAATCATCCATACTTTAATGATTTGGACAATCAAATTAAGAAGATGTAGCTTTCTGACAGTTTCCATGTGTTGTGTCGAGAACAGATAGCTGTATTTTTACTGTTAACTGTTTTTGTGTTGTGTATTTTTCTTTTCTTTGTTGTAAAATTTAAGCTGTGCCTCATCTTCTGATTTCAAAAGTGTAACTTAAAAATGTAAATACTGTTCTATATGAATTTAAATATAATAATTCTGTATATGTTTGTAGATCCCACCGTAACAACTATTTGTTACTATAATAAAACTATATAAATCTAGTACTGATGTCAGGAATTGGGAAAAATTTGAGTTAGCTTAAATCATCTAAAATCCTACAGCAGTCTGCTTTTCCTGTAGTTGGAAATACTAAACTTTACGAAAGTGTGCTAAGTTGAAAATTCATAATGCTTTGAAGTATTTTTATGCTCTGAATGTTTAAATTTTCTTGTCAGTTTCTTGCCATGTGGTAACTCTACAACCTGCCCAAAGATGAATATTTTTCTACTGGTATTTCAATTCGTGACCTAAATGTTTAGGCATTCAAATGAGAAAACTATCCAGATTTGAGAACTGATGCTTAATTTAGAGAGGTTTTTAGTAACTTATAAAACTAACATTAGCGTATGCCAAAGTTTGCTAAGTTTTACAGTCAGAGATTAAGGGCTGTCCACAGCAGGGAAGAACAGTTTAGAAAATTTATGAGCTATCCTATTTTTAGGTAGGTTATGAAAGTTATTTGTCTGAGTGAATTCTTGTGCCTTGGTCAGAGGTAATTATACAAAGGAGTAGTGGCTTATCTTGGCTTTCAAGCCTGACTTTAAAACTCGGTTTGTAGATTTTGACATAGTTTAGTTTATTAGCAGCCTTCTTCTAGTTTATTAGCAGCCTTCTTAGAAGGTTCTAATGTAAAATTATTTAGCTAAAATCACTAGCTTTGGGAATTGTTTAATTAATAATGCTGCTCGTTGTGATTTTTACCTGTAAGCAGGCTAATTTATTTGTTATAGCCTAGAGAAATGTCTCTGAAAATAGTTTTATCATTTTTAGTGTACATCTATCCATTGTCTGCCCATAGACTCTATTTTTCCTCCTGGTTACCTATGGCTAGAATGGGCATTCTTGTGTGACTGATCCAGTTGATTGAACATGTAATGGGTGATCTACCTAATCTTGTTGTCTTAGAATTTTTGCACTTGAGGAGAAAGGATGGGTCACTTTCTTTGGCGACAGGGCTTATAAGTTGAGAGGTTTGGTGGCCTTGTCCTAGGCGCTTTGGTGGAAGCCCGCCTGCAGTAAGGGAATGCAGAGCTTGGAAGTCATTTGAGGTCATACTGTGGAGAGATTTCATGGCGGGAATTTGTTAAATGAGAGGTCACACCAAAGATTGAATTGAGATGGTGACATGGTGTATCTGCAGAATTGTGTTTTCTGACCTATGAAGTGAAGTACTGAAGTGAGTCTACTTTTCAAATTGTGCATTGCAGCCCTTTAGCGGTTCAGGGTCAGCATTAATCAATGATACCCTCCCCGCACCCTGAAACTACCGGTGTATCTTATATAATTATTTCTTGGTATTTTTGTTTCAATAATATATAGATGCACTGGTGTCACCAATGTTTGGGGCCTTGTGGACTTGGTAGAAGCAGCATGCATCCTCACTACTATTGTTCCATGCAGTCTAATTGTTTGAAAAGTCAGTAATTCATCAATTGAGAACCTACGTAGTGGACCAGGGAAATGAGACAGTAGAACACTGCCAACAGTTGCTGTAATGAGTGACCACCCTTCCGTCCTGCTCCAGCTATCTGTGTAGTCCCATGTGAAGTGTTTACGTCAGCTTCAGTGACTGGGTGAAGAGCTACTGAATTGGGTCCTCATCTCGTGCATATTTTTACATTGGCTTGTGCCATGGTGCTTCTGATTAATTTTAAGGTGGATCTTTTCTCTGAGCCAATAGTTCTTATATTTGTTGTGTGCTAGAAACACCTGAGACTAATGCTGGTCCCACCCTGAACAATTCTGAAATTGAAAATTTGTCTCTTTTCAAAATTTCCCCAGGGTGATTCTGAGGTAGCCAGTTATCACCAGTTGGTGGTGAGTTTAACAACTTTGGACCGACATTTAGTTTTAGTTGTCTCAAAACTTCATGTCACCTTGCATTATCTTTAACTTGTTCTATTTCTGTTTCAGGCTGTACTCTTTAGTGAGGGGAGGGGGTTGTATATTTCATCACCAATAGAAGACTTCCATATACTATGACAATTGCTCTACCTCTCATTGTCCGTAGGCTTTAGAGAAGGGTTTTTTTTGTTGTTGCTGTTAAAGTTAAAATATATAGGCAGTAATGGTGCAAAGAAGTTAATACGTAATTTGTAGTAAAATCTTACTAATTTATATGTGGACATGGCATATGTGAATTAAATGTTTGAAAAAAAATGATAGTGTTTTAGAGTTAATAAAAGGTCTTTTGGGGACTTGGATTAACATACTAAAATAATTTTTAATTAGTAAAAAGTAATTTTTAAAGTACTTAAGGAGACTTGCAAGTTCTACTAGGTGGAATACACTTCCACTTTAGTGCCTTTAGCAAACTGTAGTTCATAATAGGTCAACTTCAGTTCCACGCCTTTTAAATGTTGCCATATTCAAACTGAAGTCGGTGAGGTTCCATAGGACCCTAGGATCATTTTATATTTTGTGGACAGAGTAGAGACAATTAGAGATGTTTGTGGGCTATGGAGTTAAGAGAGTAGTGGGCATTGTTTAAATACGTCTGGGACAAGATGGATAGAGTATTGAATGATTAAAGGGAAAGCGAGGGATGGAGGGATCGAGGGTGAAAGTCCCTGAAGAGGGAGGTACTTCCGACCTAAAAATAGCATCTAGTAGAAGGTTCAGGTGGGATATTAATGGTACTGACAAGGATTGTAACTTTAGACCCTTTGGAGAAAGGAGTGAAGTTTAATGAAGTATTTGGAAGCAAGACTAGACGTTTTTAGTCCCATGCTGTCATGTAAATATCAAGTTTCCTAAGATGCCTTAAAAGCTTCAGAAGAGATGCATTGAGAGTCATAGACTTGTTGAGGAGGAAAAAAGGTATCATAATACCAGCATTCCTGAGAATGCTGAATTAGGGTCTCCTGGAGAGCTTGTTAAGAGATTTCTGGACCATCCCCAGCATGTGATTCAGTACATCCTGCGTCGCCACGAATATACTTTCTTAACAAGTTCCCAGGTGATGTTGCTGGTGGCCCAGGGACCACACTTTGAGAATCACTGCCTGGGTGGTTCTCAGAACTCTAGAGAACTGAACAGAAACCTAGCTATTTGGTCAGCTTATTTGTAGAGGAAACACAGAAGTGCAGAAGGAGAAACTGGCCTAGAGCCAGGCATACATTTCGAGGTTGAACTGGAATTCGAACCTAAATCTTCCATTGTCATTGAGAATTGAGAAAAGTGAACGGTGTAATGTAAAGTTTCCAGTTTTAGAGCCATATTGGAACTTGGTTCCCAGTTCTGCCAGTTCTGTCTGTAGCCTTGGATACGTCACTCAACATCTCTGAATCTATTTCCTCAATTGCACAATGGAGATAATAAATGGGATTTATTTATATAAATACATAGGTAGGACTGTGGGATTGTTGTGAGGGATGTAGATAGGGCTGCCAGGCATCTTGCATGTATTATATAGTACATGTCTTGTCAGAATGCCCTAAATATTCCTTTTTCAATACATTACAAAAGTTGGGCAGTTAGAGCTATTTTTCTGCCACAGTAATTGGTGCTTAAATCTGTTAAATGGCAACACAAGTTGCCCTAGATGGGGAATATGGGTAAAGTTCCTGGCACACGGTAATTCCTTTCTCCTTTGAAGTGTCAGCACTTTTTTCTTATATTACCTCTTCTGGCACTTTTACTTTCTCCCTTACTAAATTCTAAGTCCAGTGAGGGCTGGGGCCATGTCTTGTTCTTTCATCCTCACAGCCTTTGGTCTAGAACCTCAAGCATTAGACACGATCCCAGCCCTTTAAGGTTGCTCAAAGGTTATGGCACCTCCCCTTCAATAACAACTGAACATCTATAGTGAGCAGCCACTGTGCTTTACATACATTCCCTGTCTTTCCCAGCAACCTTGTAAGGGAGTGGGCAACTTTACCTTACAGAGATGGTGAAACTAAGATTCGTTGAGCATAAATAATTTGCCAAAGGTCTCAAGGCTAGTAAACGCTGGAGCGAGGATCTGGGGGCTTTCTGGCTTCACACTGTTCTCTCTCCATGGCATCATGTTGCTTCCCACAATAAACCGATAAAGTGAACATGTGTTTAGTTTCTAAAGCTTAAGAAGAAAGAACCTGAAGAAGGCAGGCAAATGCTAAAGCCAGCGCAGCCCAGATGCCAAGGAGCACCCAGCTCAGGGTTGTGCAAACCAGCCCTCACAGGCCTGCAAGCCCCTCATTAGCGCCGAAACTCCTGAGACCTCTACGTCAAGGCTGAAAGGACCAAGGTGAGATCACTTTCAGTCCAGTTCATTTGGTGTCCCATTTTAGGCAGCACTGTCTCCTTTTATCACGTTGCACGTGGCCCTCTTGTGCTGCTTAATTCCGGCTCCTTGTTCATACGGATGACCCAGATTGGATCAGTGCAGTAAACCGTGACCCGACCTTTATAAACAAACAAACAAGTAAACCATAACCCAGCAGCAGTAATTGGTCCAGGGGTGGGCAAACGATCTAAGCAAGGCCCATGAGGGTCCTTTTTGCTATAGAAACCTCGAGAGAATGAAGTCGTCTTTCTGCTGATAGTGCTAAGCTGGGATGACATGGCTGGAAGCCTGAGGCATCTCCCCCATTCTGCCGAACTGGCTGAGCCAAGAAAGTGGTGAATAGAGAAAGATTCTCAGGAGTTTGATGTCCCTGGTTCCGGCGGTGCTGCCTTAACATTTGGAGCTACCCACTATCCCTTGTAGGGGTAGGAGTTGTGGGTTGTTTATTCTTTTTTGCTTAATCTTGTTTGAGTTGGGGTTCTGTCATTTCAACCCCCAAGAGCCACAGCTGTCAATACCAAGATAACACTTGGATGAATAATCCTAAAGGAACCCCGAATTTTAAGCACCCTCATAGTTATAAATCCTTACATAAATATCTTCCTTTAAAAGCACTTTATTTCTCATAATCATTGTTTTCAGTGCAGCTTCTAGTATTGGTTGTGTAGAATGGTACTGATATAGATGTATTCCTATTGACCTTTCAAAGAACCTACAAACTTTTGAGGAATGCTTACATACGTGTACCTACTCTTTACCAGTCAGGAGTAAAAATCTGCAGCCTTTATTTCTATGGGCAGTTATGCCTTTCCTTGAGATAGGATTTCAAAACCATGCTATACTTTTCTGCTAAGGAAATAATGCAATGACAAAAGCAGAATGTTTGGGGAGAATTTGTTTCCTAATGAGTATTAGTAGTTTTTTGTATTTGTAAAGAGCTTTGTACTAATTAAGTGGCCTATGCTATTTCAATAGCCAGAAGCTTCCTATACTATAAAAATGCCCTTAACTATAAAACCACAAGAATAATTATACCATAAAACATACTTTATAATATGGACAGAAAAGATACATTTCCCAACCGACCATAGCCATTTGTCTCAATGGTTCTGGTATCATGACAGACATATTTATGTGCAAGAAAATACAAACCTATTCTTCATGAACTGCATTCACTCTTCAAAGATCCAAGTGGGAAGCAGAACATTTGCTCCATCTTAAATCTTCTTGCTAGAATTTGAACATAGTTTTAGAAATGCTTTTTGGTTTCTTGTTTGAATTACTTGTCATGCATAGGCACTAATGGAAAATGGTTCAGAACATAGAAAGATTGCAATTTCCCCCGTGGGCACAAAACATTTTAGACCAGTCAACATCAATCTGAAGCCACATGGACTGGATGACAAATGCAAT